AGATCGTGCGTGTCGAGTGCGCGAAATGCAGGCGAGAGTGCGATTTGTCCGGTCCGCGCGCAACCCTCTGCGGAGATCGTGCGTGTCGAGTGCGCGAAACACAGGCGAGAGTGCGATTTGGTACGCAACTCTAGTACGCAGAGTAGCTGGGGAGCTGGAAGCGGAGAACTGGCGATGCGGCAGTGCGAGAGTAGTGCGCGGAGTAGCTGGGGAGCGGGAAGATGAGAACTGGCGAGTGGGTAGTACAACTGGAGGGCGTGGAGTATCTGGGGAGCTGGAAGATGAGCACTGGCGACTTGGTAGTACAACGGTAGTACGCGGAGCTGCTGGGGAGCTGGAAGCTGAGAACTGGTGACTTTGTAGTACAACTTTAGTACGCGGAGCAATCTGTGGAGCTGGAAGCTGAGAACTGGCGACTGCGTAGTACAACTTTAGTACGCGGAGTAGCTGAGAACTGGCGATGTTGTAGTACAACGTTAGTAGTGCGCGGAGTAGCGGGGGAGCTGGAAGATGACAAGTGGCGACTGGGTAGTACAATTGTAGTACGCAGAGTAGCTGGGGAGTGGGAAGATGAGAACTGGTGAGTGGGTAGTAGCTGAGAACTGGCGACTGTGTAGTACAACTTTAGTAGTGCGCGGAGTCGCGGGGGAGCTGGAAGATGAGAAGTGGCGACTTGGTAGTACAACAGTAGTACGCAGAGTAGCTGGGGAGTGGGAAGATGAGAACTGGTGAGTGGGTAGTAGCTGAGAACTGGCGACTGTGTAGTACAACCTTAGTATGCGGAGTAGGTGGGGAGCTGGAAGATGAGAACTGGCAACCTGGTAGTACAACTTTAGTACGCAGAGTCAGAGTAGCTGGGGACTGGGAAGATGAGAACTGGCGACTGGGTAGTACAACTTTAGTATGAAGAGTAGCTGGGAAATGGGAAGAGGAGAACTGGCGAGTGGGTAGTAGCTGCGAACTGGCGACGGTGTAGTATATAACTGTAGTGCGCGGAGTAGCTGGGGAGCTGGAAGATGAGAACTGGCGACTTGGTAGTACAACTAACACGTGCCTTGGACAACAGGCAGTGGAATCCAGCTTGCTGGCTGACAACAGGCAGTGGAAGCCAGCTTGCTGGCGGCCATTGTCCAGATGGAAAGCCAGCACGTTGGCTACCATCATAGTTG